AAAAAAAAAAAAAAATCTCTCAAATGTAAGAGTTTGATTTTTTTTGTTTTGCCAATTTATATATATATGTGTGTTAGTCCCAGTGACTTGGGAGGCTGAGGTGGGAGGATCACTTGAGCCCAGGAGTTCAGAGACCAGCCTAGGCAACCTAACAAGATCCATTATGTTAAAAGGAAAAAAAGAGAAAAAAAATCAGTGTTGCCTATGAATGTGTGGATTTATTTCTGGGTTCTCTATCCTGTTCCACTGGTCTGTATGTCTGTTTTTATATCACTACCATGCTGTTTATATGCACTACTACTATATGTAGCTTTATAACAGAAAATGCAGGCTGGGTGAGGTGGCTCATTCCTGTAATCCAAGCACTGTGGGAGGCCGAGACAGGTAGACTGCTTGAACTCAGAAGTTTGAAACCACCCTGAACAAGAGTAAGACCCTGTCTCTACTAAAAATAGAAAAACTAGTCAGGAATTGTGGCGGGGGTGTCTATAGTCCCAGTTACTAAGGAGGCTGAGGCAAGGGGATCCCTTGAGCCCAGGAATTTGAGTTTGCTCTAAGTTGTGACACCAGGTATTCTAGCCTGGGCAGCAAAGTGAGACTCTGTCTCAAAAAAAAAAAAAGCATGTGGTCCCCATGTTACTACCCCATAGTAGCTACTACTGGCAGTTGAGTATGTCTCCTTCCAGATTTGTTTGATGCATAAGCACATTTATATGTAAGCTGCTTATCATATGAAACTGGAACATATTTATAATATATATTCTGCAATTTGCTCTATTCACTTAAAAAAATACATTTTTCTGTGTCATTATACATAATTCTACTTCATTCTTTTTAAGGACCATAGAGTATCCTATTCCCCTATACATATTGAGGTAGTTTATAGATTTTTACTCCAGACAATGCTGCAGTAACTGTATTGGGGGCCGGGGGGGGGGGTTGTGGGGTTTTATTGTTGTTGTTGCCCTTGGTGGAATGCCTTGGCGTCAGCCTAGCTCACAGCAACCTCAAACTCAGTCTAGCTCACAACAGCCTCAAACTCCTAGGCTCAAGCAATCCTCCTGCCTCGCCCTCCTAAATAGCTGGGACTACAGTTACCACCACCACACCTGGCTAATTTTTTTTGTTTTTTAGCAAGCTCTGGCCAGGCTGGGCTTGAACCCACCAGCCCCAGACCATGTGGCCAGCACCATAACCACTGAGCTACGGGTGCCCAGCCATGGCTAATATTATTAGAGATCAGTTCTCACTCTTCCTCAGGCTGGTCTTAAACTTCTAAGTTCAAGGGATCCTCCTGCCTTAGCCTCCCAGAGTGCTAGGATCACAAGCATGAGCCACCATGCCCAGCCTGCAGTAACTGTTCTTATCTTTTTTATAGTTATACTAGTAGTTATATAGGACGGATTTCTAGAAATGGTACTTCTGGCATGCATATTTTACATTTTTCTGTCAACTGCCCTTTAGAACAATGATATAAAATAAAAATCACCCACAATTCTCATCCACTTTTACTCTCTCACACAACTATTTTCATCTTTGTATGTTCCCCTTCCGCTCTGTTCACATATGCATATTTTTCAAGATAGGCATGCTAGGGGTTTTTCTTTCTTCTTTGTTTTAATGTCCAAAAACATTTAACCTTATTGCTACATTTTCTTTGTGATGAACTACTGAGTCACTACATAATAGTCAGTGAAATAGTTATACTATAATTTTGTGAACATTTGGGTTGCTTCCAGTTTTTAATTGATAAAATAATGCTGTAATGATGCTTCTCTGTGTTTGTGTGTAGTTTGTTTTGGGTTTTAATTTAATTAGATTAATTTCTTCAAATTTCTGGGGCAAAGGGACTAGTACTTTGTTGGTCTTTATATATTGATTGCAATATATTGATTGTCCTTAGCTTTCCCAAAAGGTTGTTGTTTCACCCTTGTACTATTTGCCATAACATTGCCAACATTTAAAAAGAAAACTAGGCTCGGTGCCTGTGGCTCAAGTGGCTAAGGCACCATCCACATACACCTAAGGTGGCGGGTTCGAATCCAGCCTGGGCCCGCCAAAACAACAATGATGGCTGCAACAAAAAAAGTAGCCGGGCCTTGTGGTGGGTGCTTGT